AGCAATAAAACAACTAAATTTACTCGTAATCTGACAAATTCATGTAATTATTACCTTGTTATGCGACATTTTCAATTAGCAAACCTTGTTTTTCTCTATTTTTTGGGCTTGGGCTCATGGGGCAGGTCTAAAAAATTGATGGTATATTAGAAGGATGAAATCTTGCGACTTTTATAAATTCTCCCATTTCTCATCTTTAATATTTAGTGTTTCTTGTCAAAGTTTAAATTATTTACTGGCCGCCCAACACTTTTTAAGCATTTTTATGACTAAACAAATGGAAAGTACTCATATAAAGTTGTTTTGGATTACTGATATATTTGCTTTTCATTGTATGAAAACCTGTGACTTTGTGTGTCCGTATTCGGATCCTCAATATGTTTGCTTAAATAGTTTGAAAAGAATGCAAAATCTCCTCTAGTCGGCTTTCTTTTGGGTTCTTTTTGATGGCTGAAGTTGAAAAACTTGTTTATTGCTCATAAGTTGATAAACTGTACATTTGGTACCTTATTGGTATCTGCATGTGTGTTCATGCTGCTGAACAACTATTTTCTTACTTTCATTTTTCAGAAATTTTCTTTTTATTATTCAAAAATATTTCAAATTTCTTAAGATTAAGATTTATTCAAATTCATTCCTGGGTTTCAGTCATTTATTGTCTCTATTTATTAATCAAAATACCTTTCCGTATATTTTTTCACCATCATCAGTTTTTCTAAAATAACAGATAGTTAAGAAAATGTTTTCATTAATTTAAAAAACAACCACAGTTTGTCAACAGCCTCATCATATCACCCATTAAAATACATCACATTTGCAATACTTTAAAACATTCTAAAATTAATTAGGCCTAACAGGTGATTAGTCAGGACAATCAAATTTGGGAAGACACTAGAATTCTTCGTTCAGATACTTAATTATTTTTACTTACATGTGTAGCGTTGTTGCTGCTTTAAGCCTTGTCATGCATTTGGAGTATTCATTTTGTCGATTATCGGACACAAAACGAATAAAATACTGTTTATATTGATTTCTTTTACTTTCAGCTACTTTTCTTTGCATTCTGAGGATATTATTTTTGGTTTGCAAAATTCTTCAATATACCGGGTGTTAGTTAATATT